GAACGTTTGTCTGTAGCATCCTTTTTTATAGTTTGGGTTGGAAAGCCAAGAATCTTTATAAATAAAAACTTTACCTTTTCTAACAATATGAAACAAAGACTCAAAATTGTTAAATACATATTTACTCGCTGTACAATGTTATACTTGGTTACACTTTTACACATTACTTGCTACTATTAACAATAATATTGCGCTACTAATCGTAAGCATATCTTTACGTATAATTGCGTATAACACTGCTTAGGGAATTCCCTGGAAATAATTGAGCGACTATTATTACCATAGATATGATGGTTATTCATATTTGTGCTGACTATAAAATAAATAGTTGCTGATATTTAATTTTCTCTTTTCGTTTAGAAATGATTTAAATGTTTATAGAAATAGTACTAAATTACTTATATAATTTTAGAATACTTGGTTAATTATTTTCCGTTGTTAACCTTGACATTTAAAATAGAAATGACTGTTTTTATTTTGTTAAGCATTAATTTTTCCTTTTATTTTTTGAATTTTATAGATTAAGTATATTAAAAACTAAAACATTTGTATTTTATAATTACAGAAGGTTTTAAGTTAATATAGAAGAATATTCTTGTTAAATGTATAGATCTTAGTTATTTTTAGGAAAACAGGATAAACAAAAACAGTAGCAAACTGAAATTACAATTTTTACTTTGTATAAAAATAACATTCTAAAAATAGAAAAATATACATCTTATGGCACTTATTTTTAGGAAAGCGCCACAAACAGAAACACTGTCAAATTGAAATTAACATCTATAAGTATAGTTATATATATAACAAATTGTAATAAACATTTAAAATGATCACAATTAAACTTTATATAAAAAGATGATAACTATCTGGTGGTGCATCCACTTAAGATTTTTTAACATTAGTGGCACTTATTAACTCTTTATTTTCGGTATACATATAGTATTTTATTCTTTCTTCAGTTAAAATGTACCTAGATATTTCTAATTTGCTAAAATATGATTTTTGCTATCACATCAAAGTTCTCATTTCACACAGTTCACATCAGAGTGAAGATCGAAATGCAACAGAGGACCAGTTCATAACTGCAAGTAAGAAAAATGTAAAAGGTATGATGATTATTTGTTTATTTATTGGAATACATACTGTTTTCATTAGCCTAATCATGTAACGTGCAATACAACACTAATTTTTTTATAATAACATTTCAATCCACTTATTTATATTAACATTATAAGTACTGTTGCCTTACATGTAATACAACTGAATATTACATAATCAATTTCTAACTATAGTTCATTGTTATATAAAGTATTGTGTTCAGCATTATCTATAATGAGAAAGTAGAGCAATTAGATTATATTTTAAATATAAACATCTATTTATTGTTATTATTCAGCAGAGGTTTGAAATATCACTTAGATAGCGATATAACGATAGTACTTCTTCAAATTAAGGAGTTTTGAGGTCAGTTATATAGAAATAACCGGATTTTGACTTGAAACAAAGGCAAATAGCAACAACGTTCACACTTCTAATTTGTGGAGCTGTACACCTTCCCATTGAAAGACAAGATGTAAATAACGAAATGCGTTGTTCCAATTACTAAAACCTACGGAGAAAACATTTGTACTTACTAATTTATCATTGTATGCCTATACTTAATACGTACTGTAATGCTTCATCATTTTTAATTATTAATTTCGGAAACAACATTCTTTGTCTTCTAAAGAATATATTTCCTGAGGAGCTAAACCACTTGGAGGGCCCATAACTTGGATGTTTTTATTAATAAAGTAAAATTAATGCAGAAGCTTTGATCCCAACAGGTATTTTGACAAATCAACATAACCACAAAACAAGTAACATTCGTAATTACGTAACCAAAAGNATTAAAAAATCCAATAATATTGAAAGTTCTACTTTGACTTAAACGAATGGACTGGTTTCCTTGGTATTGGTGCTCTCTGTCTGCTTAGAAACGATTGACCCTGGCCAGCACTCAACAATGCTAACCGTTCATCCACAGCCTCTTTGTGACATAACATGCTCATTTTATGAAAGGCACTAACGAGGAACTTCTCTTCGCTTTCCTTCATACTACCGTGTTGTATAGAACGAAGGCTACCGTTCGATTTATGTTCCATATTTTGAACCACTTCCTTGGCCTTTTCTACATACTTAGTATATTTAGCTTGAAGTGTTTGGAGATCGCTCTCTTTTACAGATAATGCTTCTTGAAGGCTTGCAATTTTTTGTTTTTGCTCTTTAACTACAATTTCAGATTGTAACGGGCTTTGATCTGTTGGAGAAGATTTCCGCTGTTCTTGGAGTTGCTCTTCTAATTCTAGTACTTTTTGATTAATATTGCGGTTCTGCTCGGTCAATTTCTCGATGCGGTTTTGGGCATCGTCCAGTAAGGTTTTTTTTGCAGCGGCTTCTTGGGTTAAGGCTCTTAATGTTGCATTTTCTCTTTCCAAAAACCGTAGCCTTTCCTTCATTTCGGCAGGCGCAAGTTCTCGGGCAACATCAGCACCGCTTACCGAGCTTTCTCCTGTTCCCATTTTCAGTTCCTCGTTTTCTTCACGAAGAGCGTCCCGCTCTTGTGCCAATCTTGATTTTTCTCCTTGCAAAGCATTCAGCTTTGTTTCGACATTTTTAAGTTGAAATAGGGCTTTATCAGAGCGTTGAACTTCTTCATCTAGTTTCTGTTGAAGTTCAGCAATTTGACCTTTATAAATTTCGCACTGGTTTTTCCAGAAGCTGGTGCTCTTCAATTCTTCTTCATATTTTAAATTTTGCTGGTAATACTCAACATTCTTATCTTCTAAAGTTTTTAGTTGCTTTTTGATGTCCCCATAATCTTCTAACTTCTTTTTATAAGAAGCAATGGTCACTTCAAGCTCATGCAATTTGTCTGCCGATTCAGATAAGGCATCAACTTCATCTTTGAGTCGTGCTGCTGTATCAGCAACAAGCTGTAATTCTCCTACTTTCTCCTGAAGTATGAGAATCTGCTTGTCTTGTTCTAAAATTTTAGCTTTGTAATCATCTTTAACAGTTTCAACTTTGAAGAGTTCTTCTTTTAACAAGTCTAGTTGCCTCCTGTTATCAGGACTCCTAACTGTTCCTGTTGTTTCTAATTCTCTGACTCTTTTAGAGAGCATCTGATTGTCTGATAGTAACGTTTGTTTTTCCTCAATGAGGCACTGAACTTGTGTTTCTAAGTTGTGGCATTGTTGAGCCAAAGAATCTTTAATTTCATTAGCTGATTCAAGGTCTGACATTAATTTTATTATTCGTGTGTCACTTTCCAAACTAAGAAAGCTTAATCCTGATCTTCCGGTGTTTCCTGTAACTTCTTCAAGTTGTTGAATTGCTTGCATAATACTCTGTTGTACAGATTCTTCTAGATCCATGATCTGAGTAATGTATTGTTGCTTTTGCTCACAATTGACAGCACAGCCTAACAAAATTCAACTTTCAATTCAGTACAAAAACATCTTCTGATTGAACTTACCTAATATTAAACGTAAAAGTTTTCCCAACTGTATTAAATCACTTTTCTCGGCAATTTTATTCAAGTCAGGTTTTCCAATGTCTAGAACTTGCAAGTTGAGGATATCTTGATAATATTCTAAGATGCTCTCGACAATCTTCTTTAAATTGCTCACTTTTAACCTCCAATTGGACCCCACATCATGTTTGACTTTTCCTTCTAATTTGCTGAAATTCTCTGGAGATATTTGTACTAACAATCTCATCATTGCTACACCATCACTTAGCTCTGCGACTGAGCGACTACCTTTGGATTCAACAGCTTGCAACCATTTAATTAGACTATAACAGACTTCTTCTGAAGGTCCCATTTTGGAATAGCAGGTGCTTAAGTAATTTGTTTGTCTTGTAATTCATATAGCATTGAAAAATAACTTTCACTGTCACTTGTTTACTTAATGTTTTTAATATTTAACTCATCTTAACGAGTTAATAAATAAATAAATAAATAAGATTTTAAAAATAAGGGTGCCAAATGTTCACCTGCTACTTCTGTCCATATTGTCCTTGCGTGGGGCTCCTGCTAAGTCCCTCATTCGGTTTTGATAATCTTAGCCCCTATAATAAGTGAGAAATTAAACTTTTAAAATTGTTTAATAAAACTAAAAGCAAAAACAAGATTTTAAAAATAAGGCGCGCCAAATCCTCACCTGCTACTTCTGTCCATATTGTCCTTGAGTGAGGTTTCTTCTAAGTCTCTTTTTGATTTTGATCATAGCCCCTATAATAAATGAGAATTTAACATTCAAAATAGTTTAATTAAAATAAATGTAAAAGCAGGATTTTAAAAATGAGGGGTGCAAAATGCTAAGTGATTTATGAGACATGAATACAGCGTTAGCCTCTAAGGTAAACATTGAACTATAGTAGCTTTTCAGCCTCCAAGATCTCACATTTCTCAAACAACTCGTACAGAAATGATTCGGATTTTGACTGAAGATTGTCCAAATTGTTGTTAGTCATTTCAGCCCCCTTGGTGTCCTCTTGATTAGTCTTTAAATTTAATCATATTGATTTCTTATATTTTTGAATGAATGATTGAATATTATTAATGCTTAAGACATAATAGTGCATAAAATAAATTGCACTATAAATGTACCTACTTAATACTACAATAGATTATGTATTGTCCGAACTAAACTGCTTCTATTAAATAATTAATTTAAATATATAACAATATGCATTTAATACACTTTACACTATTAATCTATGCTAATCTGTACTTTATTTTGTTTATTAATGCTTTACAAATGTCAATATTTGAAATGAACCATAGATAAGAAATGATAAGAAATAAATTTTGTGCTTAAATAATAGTTAAACGGTAAAATACTTAAAATACATCTTTGAAATTACTTGATCATGGACATTAACATTAATAATAATAGTTTTAATTTTTTCAATATAACTAAAGTGATAATTTTGATTAATTATTAATGTCTAGTTAAATAGAAGTTACTGTTTGTACATTATAATAAATTACATTATTGCTTATTTATGATGCAAATATGTAAATTATATTAATGTATATTATCTAAAACGTATTTAGTACCCTTTTTGTTGTTTTAGATAAATGTAAAAGTTGTTCTCAGAAGATTATTAGTAAATCGAAATTATTTTAGTGATCTTTAGCGGTACATAATAATTTAAATTGAATAAAATTATTTGAAGTTTTAAACAGGTGAAACTGCATGGCTCAAGAGCCTTTCCATAAATTTTATAATTCTGTTTATGCAGCATCAATTTCTATATCCTATGACACAAATTATCTTACTTATGTTTTAAATATGATGATAAAACTAAGGAAGGCTGATAAAACATAACAGTTTTAAATTGATAAAATAAAACAAAGACTACATTCTACATTACAGCACATAGGTAACAAGAAAAAAAAGGTAACCATTTTATTGGTTTTATATTTTTTATTCAATCTGAAATCTGTATTTAAACTACATAATCAGATTCCTAACGTTCATTTACACCAATTAAGCCCACTTTTTCCACTTAAAAAAGAAAATCGTTTAAAATCAAATCCAATGAGTCGCTCAAAAGTATGTAAATGACAACGTAGGCCTCCATTGCGAACAAACTAAAACAATTAACACTTATTCGTTAGAGTTCCGTTGCGCTACCTTCACTCGCACTCTCCACACACTTTTATACCTTACTGGACTAAATTAAGGAATTTTGACGACTTTCCACGTGTATCATTTCTTTTATCTTTAATTACTAATATTTCACAACGATTGTTGAATAAATGCAATACAGTTTAAACTTATTTACATATTACTAAGAGTTTCAATAGATTTTATTATGATTGTAATTATATTTTTTTACAAAAAAAAAAAGAAAAGTACAACTAGTCAAATTTTACAAAATAAAATCGATGCTGCTGCTGCTATTACTGATGCTGCTGCTGCCTTTTCATTTCCGTAACGATGCTGAAACTGTATTGCATAAATTTCGTTTTTTTGTTTTCCAATTTTTTTTCATGTTAAATAGAAGAATTTTACAAAAATATTATTGTGTGTTGTATTTCGATATTTTCGTTCTTTTACTTTCGACCAGCATTGGGACGCACTAACCGGGCTAATCTTGCATCTCCTCTGGTATCTCATGAGGATTTAAAATCCCTGGTACCAACTTTTGATATCGTTTCTTTTCAGCTTCTGCCAACTGGAGTGCTTTTTCTCTCTCTTCTAAGTATAAGTCCGAGTCATCTTCACCGGTGTATTCCTTAAAAAATAATTTTCAATTGTTTTGTATAGATACATAAGTTCTAGTCGACCGGATTTGCTAAAGTTGTCTACGAAATAAGGATACGTAGAATGCATATTGAGTCACATATCGATAACGATCATTATATAATTTTATTATTACTGCTTCACGAATAAACAAAATAAAATCTACTTACTCTTATTTGCACCAGGAAGTCTCTCAAATGCTCCTTAAATGCGGGTATGTCTTGGTGAAGCGAGAAGAATCCTTGGACCGTGATTTTGATTTGGTTGTCGGTTAGATGAGGGAATGCGGACCTTAGAAGCGATCCGGTAAATTCCTGCAGGTACAAGACGTTGTCTGGCGTCGGTCCTAGTTGACACCTGATCCTTCCCGTATCCACTAGCATAAAGATCATCGCCAGAATATTCGCGTGCATTGATAGGCTCGCCGTGTGCGACGAATCGGTCACAACAGAGAAGATGTGTTGTAAGATATCCGTGAGATATGTCTGGTAAAAACTCGAGGCTGGCTGTCCGTTCAATTCGAAATTCTGCAGGAGTCGTTGGAGGATCTGGAGGCCGGTGTCGGCCACGTTACGCATTGTATGTTTGAATGCCCAGATAATGCTGTCCAGAACGAGCTTGAACTGGGCCGGCGGTATGCTTAGGAAGGCGGGGAAGCAGTAGTTGTTGACTGCTTGTAAGAGTAGGAAAAAGTTGGTCCTGTGTTCTGGGTACTCCTCAAAGTCTTTGTTTATCATTGCCAGCGTACACTCGAACACGGCGTCGAAAATTTTTGGGATCTGTAAAAACAAACATGATTAAAACTGATTCACATTTTTTTTACAATCGCTCTTAATTTACCTCTGATGTGATATCATCCTCGAGTTTGTTGACAATAGTGGCCATGGCACTAAGAACTTCCGGTTCTCTCGCCGATGGAACGGCCGTCCTCTGGTAGTCCAGAAGTACAGCGTCCAGGAGGGGCGGAATGAAATTTTCGAGCACCATAACATGATCATTCGATCTCATTATCCAATCCGAGATTAACTTCAACGTTTCTTTCTTGACAACCCTCATGCTCTTGATCAGGGGCTGTTTTGTAACTTGCTCCCCATTCAGCGCTATTGCTGCAGTTATGTTCCCGGACATGACCTTTGAATATTCAAAAAGATAATTATTGATCTAAGAATGTTATTAAGAAACAAATTTATCAATATAAGTAACTAGTTGAAATTAAAGTGTTTTGTAGGTTTAATTATGAAAGTAGCCTGTTGCAAACATTATTCAGAAGATAAATCATTTCTTGGTTTACTTGCCTTATACACATTTAACATGTCGAGGTATATTCTCCCCAGCTGGACCACATAAGCATGGTTGAGGGCTTTGCAGGCTCTTACATTGGTCTTCAAAATACTACCTAGCTGTTTGACAACGTCAATTTCCTTAAGAACGTCTACATTTTTGCTTGCTTGAGATATTATATCATCCCATACCTTAAATACAATTCGAATCACATACATTTAATAAGTTACAGTAGTTACAATTTTACAATTAAGGCAAATGGGTGCTTAATAAATACAAAAATTAAAGATAGAAAGAAACTTGCAAATTTCGTCTTTGTAAAAGTAATAGTTCGTTTATGTTCACTATTTTAAGTATTTAAGATAGAAAACAAATAAAGTAAATTGTTTTCACCTGGTTAGGAAGCAACATGTATTTCTCAATCAGTGCTTCTTGGGCAGCAGTGTCAACCTGCGCGGAGATCATATAACCGACGGCTTCGTAGAAGGTATGAACTTGTTGCGTCTGCAGGTCGCAGATTATCGTCGATATCGAGGCCAGAATATCTTCGATGAAGGGGCACGTCTCGCCGATTTGCGTTGTTACAAAGTGCCTGCGACATTTAAGGGCAATCTTAATGAATGTGTCACAGGCCATGTCCTGCACTCCATCGTGCGTTTCGTGCATGAACTCAAACAACTTATTAACGACCGTTTTCAGAAATTTCCAATGAGCGCGTAAGAAGCGCGGATACTGCCCCACAACGTACATTATATTCGACGCGATTATCGCTTTGTTGTCCTTATTTCGTTTTTGCTCGCAAAGTCCCAGGAGATCTTTAATTACAGTTACAAGAAAACGTTTCTCGTCTTCTTCGTGCATAGCCCCCGAAATGCTCCCGATAGCCCAGCACAAAGTGTTCAGATTCTTCCAGGACCATTCGGAGCCGTTCACTTGATTCTGCAGCTTCTCTGTCATTATACGTAAAGTGTCGACATAGTCCAAGTGGGTGAGATATACAAGAGTTTCGCGCATGCTCTTGTACAAATTTATAGAGTCCGTGTCCTTCATGAACTCGCGAACCACTTCGCCGTTGTCGTTTTCCACAACTAGAACTTCTTCGGGCTTAGCCATTCGAGAGATCATTATATAACGCAGGCGTTTCAGGCAATCTTGATACAAGGCCCTGCGAGTTCCTCCGAAGAATATAGGCTGCGCGCCCCCATACGGAACTTCTCTATACAACTCACCCGTCAGCACGTTCCAATATTCTAAACAAATTTTGAATATTTCTACTTCGTCCACAGCAGAAATGAGCAGCAAGTAGTGTAGAGCGTTCTTTAACAAGGGTTCGTTCTGTTCAGCTAAATTGCCATGTTCTTTAAGGAACGTGCACAGGAACATGGCCAAATTCTGTATAAAGTTTTGCTCTTGGTCTTGGCCCATAGCGTAGGCGCTTCTAATGTCTATTTGAGAGGGCAACATCACCTCCAGTTGGGCCATGGTTTGACTGAACAGTGTCACAAACATTTCGTCGTAATTACTTACAGTAACACCAGCGATTTCCGTCAGACATTTCAATGTAACATTCCTAAATAAGGGAACAGGCAAAAATTTAAAAATCAACGTGTTTATCAATTTAGTTTCGAAAATGTAACCAAGTGGGATCCAGTTGAGGAATCTTAATAATGTTTCCAGCGTGGCGCAGACCAGGGGTGGATTTTGCGAATTTTCGAGTACAAACTGGCACAACTGGAATATCTGGGAAAATTCAGAACACATAGAGTCCTTCAAATGTTTCGCCTTCGTTTGTGTGATCTGCCCAGAAGAAAAATCGAACAGTTCTTCACTCAGTAATTTCAAAATGTTCATGTTATTCTGACAAAGAGATTCGTTCGTTTTACTGGCGCCCACGATATCGGGAATAAACGATTCCCAATTTTTAGGCCATTCTCTTTTCAATATTTGAACTAAGATCATATTCAGTTTGTTTAGGTATGTCTTGTTCTCTTCCAGTAGCTGAGGATCTGAACTTGTTTTTATTATTAATGCTACAATGTACTTCTTTATCCCTTCACACTGATTTCGGGGTAAAACTTTCCATCTGAAAGAAACAAGCACCTCTAGCATTACTCTAATTCTAGTAAAATTGTATCTTTTAAAATTTCCAAAATTTTTATAAAAAAGACTGGTTGTAGATGCTTCTATATACATATTTATATAACTATTTAAATTCATTAATTTAATTAACTAATCAAGGTAAGATTTGCAGTTATCAGGCAGGACAGGTACTTTGCACTTACTTTTAAAAGCATGCCTCTCTTTTAACTCTATAAAATGATTGACATAAAAACTGCAGCACACAAGATTACTATAATTACTCTTTTAGGCCATTAAAAAAACACCTTTAATTAGGTAAAAGAAGATTCTAGTCAAGATTTAAAAGGTTCATCACCAAACACAGTTGTATAGTTATGAATGACAGATAGTAACTTCTTACCTGGTTTTTATAACTTGTTCTAAAATTTGTAAAGCATAATATTTAGTTTGTTGATTTGTGGAATATTCTAAAATAGTATCAACACGAGTCCAGGCATCGGGATGTTCCTTCAGTGTAGTTAAAACTTCTTGTGCTACACGCTGTGTTTCTCCATTCCCCGCATACATACTAACAACCACACTGTCCAACAGCCCAATATCCAACTTCTGATTGAAGTCTAAAAGAGCTGCTGCTTGATGCGCTAATGTTGCCATTTTTTCCAATTGTAGTCACTCAATTCACAAATACACAGTCAAGCCATCAAATTTGCTGCTGAAAACGGAAAAGCTTCCATTAGGTAAATCTAACCTTATTGTCAACATCGCGAACAAACGTAAATTTATACAAAAACTTATACACAAATAAAATTAAAAAATTACAAATAAACACACGATAAGGTTGCATCACGTTCTAGTTTAAGTAATACGAAATTGTTTTAGCGGGAATAATACTCAAACAAGGAGTTTAATGTCAAAAAAGTTCTACAAACACACACCCCTTATACCTCGTTTTTTGGCACAATTTCTGTCCTAGTGGCTACTTATTTGATATTATTCGTTTACTAATAAAGCTCTGGGACGATTACAATTGCCATGAATTAAGTACATAGAAAAATATAATATTATCTTACTTTTAAACAGCGGCGCAATGGCAACACAAATGGCAAACATACAACCAAATCACACATACAACAATTCTAAACACATTTACACATTAGCGTTCCTACGTATACGAAACGCAAAAAACGAAGAGAATGCGAGTTACTGCGCATATCTTAAGCAGATCTCTTCTACGTCATTAATAAAATTAACCCTTGAAAGCCTTATAACACATTCTGGCAAATTTTTTCCTGGAGATAGTACTTTTTCGTACCTAATACACATTTGATTTTGTTTGTTACAACAATTACGTACCTCCTTTGTAACGATAATGCAAATTAACAGAAAAGGGAAAAATAATTACATCTATTGTTATTTCCATAGAGTTAACTGAGCAACACATTTTTTCAAATTATGAATAAACTTTTATTTTTTCATTAGTGTTTTATTGCCAACAGTATATACTTTACCTGTTTTTTTTTATTTGTGGGTGTATATAAAAACTAATAAAACACCAACGTTAATATTTTCGTGTATGTTCATATATAATTACGTTTCGAAAACGAATTTAATAAAACAGTATCTATATGAGCATTTCAGTAGTGATAAATTAATTTAGATAGAAGAAATACTTTGTTTTAACAGAAAATATGTATTTTTAATTGATCGTCTGCAACCCAACATACACCCTGTGCATCCATGTTGCATAAGAATTTTAGTGAAACTGAATGTACTAACTGTATCTACATACTTCTTAGAACAAGAAACAAATTAATTAAAACGTATATTTATTAACGATAGATAATAAACATTAAGCTCTGAACACTGTAATGTGTTAAAAAAATTGTTTTACTTAATAGGCTTCACCTTTGGAAAAAATGCCGTAAAATATTAATTTAAAATGATTATAATGTGCCAGGAAAAGCACTTTTTTAATTACATATATATAGGAAAAAGATAAAAAAAATAATCATTAAATAAAAATTTCTAATAAACGAATAAAAACAAAATTGGCTCCGTAACTATTTGAGATAATTAATTTTTCAATTTATGACTAGTTCCTCTACACGATTAACGATAAAGTTAATTCGAGGCTTATATTTGTTTTTAACAAGTAAAATAACTTTATCAATTTTATTAATCACAATTTCGAACCAAAAACAATTGCAATGAAAGCAAATTCAGATAGTTGTGATTTTTTCCAATTACGTTTTCATTTTCCCAAAACGTTACTGCTGCCAATTTTTTTAAAAAATTAAAAAATCCAATAATATTGAAAGTTCTACTTTGACTTAAACGAATGGACTGGTTTCCTTGGTATTGGTGCTCTCTGTCTGCTTAGAAACGATTGACCCTGGCCAGCACTCAACAATGCTAACCGTTCATCCACAGCCTCTTTGTGACATAACATGCTCATTTTATGAAAGGCACTAACGAGGAACTTCTCTTCGCTTTCCTTCATACTACCGTGTTGTATAGAACGAAGGCTACCGTTCGATTTATGTTCCATATTTTGAACCACTTCCTTGGCCTTTTCTACATACTTAGTATATTTAGCTTGAAGTGTTTGGAGATCGCTCTCTTTTACAGATAATGCTTCTTGAAGGCTTGCAATTTTTTGTTTTTGCTCTTTAACTACAATTTCAGATTGTAACGGGCTTTGATCTGTTGGAGAAGATTTCCGCTGTTCTTGGAGTTGCTCTTCTAATTCTAGTACTTTTTGATTAATATTGCGGTTCTGCTCGGTCAATTTCTCGATGCGGTTTTGGGCATCGTCCAGTAAGGTTTTTTTTGCAGCGGCTTCTTGGGTTAAGGCTCTTAATGTTGCATTTTCTCTTTCCAAAAACCGTAGCCTTTCCTTCATTTCGGCAGGCGCAAGTTCTCGGGCAACATCAGCACCGCTTACCGAGCTTTCTCCTGTTCCCATTTTCAGTTCCTCGTTTTCTTCACGAAGAGCGTCCCGCTCTTGTGCCAATCTTGATTTTTCTCCTTGCAAAGCATTCAGCTTTGTTTCGACATTTTTAAGTTGAAATAGGGCTTTATCAGAGCGTTGAACTTCTTCATCTAGTTTCTGTTGAAGTTCAGCAATTTGACCTTTATAAATTTCGCACTGGTTTTTCCAGAAGCTGGTGCTCTTCAATTCTTCTTCATATTTTAAATTTTGCTGGTAATACTCAACATTCTTATCTTCTAAAGTTTTTAGTTGCTTTTTGATGTCCCCATAATCTTCTAACTTCTTTTTATAAGAAGCAATGGTCACTTCAAGCTCATGCAATTTGTCTGCCGATTCAGATAAGGCATCAACTTCATCTTTGAGTCGTGCTGCTGTATCAGCAACAAGCTGTAATTCTCCTACTTTCTCCTGAAGTATGAGAATCTGCTTGTCTTGTTCTAAAATTTTAGCTTTGTAATCATCTTTAACAGTTTCAACTTTGAAGAGTTCTTCTTTTAACAAGTCTAGTTGCCTCCTGTTATCAGGACTCCTAACTGTTCCTGTTGTTTCTAATTCTCTGACTCTTTTAGAGAGCATCTGATTGTCTGATAGTAACGTTTGTTTTTCCTCAATGAGGCACTGAACTTGTGTTTCTAAGTTGTGGCATTGTTGAGCCAAAGAATCTTTAATTTCATTAGCTGATTCAAGGTCTGACATTAATTTTATTATTCGTGTGTCACTTTCCAAACTAAGAAAGCTTAATCCTGATCTTCCGGTGTTTCCTGTAACTTCTTCAAGTTGTTGAATTGCTTGCATAATACTCTGTTGTACAGATTCTTCTAGATCCATGATCTGAGTAATGTATTGTTGCTTTTGCTCACAATTGACAGCACAGCCTAACAAAATTCAACTTTCAATTCAGTACAAAAACATCTTCTGATTGAACTTACCTAATATTAAACGTAAAAGTTTTCCCAACTGTATTAAATCACTTTTCTCGGCAATTTTATTCAAGTCAGGTTTTCCAATGTCTAGAACTTGCAAGTTGAGGATATCTTGATAATATTCTAAGATGCTCTCGACAATCTTCTTTAAATTGCTCACTTTTAACCTCCAATTGGACCCCACATCATGTTTGACTTTTCCTTCTAATTTGCTGAAATTCTCTGGAGATATTTGTACTAACAATCTCATCATTGCTACACCATCACTTAGCTCTGCGACTGAGCGACTACCTTTGGATTCAACAGCTTGCAACCATTTAATTAGACTATAACAGACTTCTTCTGAAGGTCCCATTTTGGAATAGCAGGTGCTTAAGTAATTTGTTTGTCTTGTAATTCATATAGCATTGAAAAATAACTTTCACTGTCACTTGTTTACTTAATGTTTTTAATATTTAACTCATCTTAACGAGTTAATAAATAAATAAATAATGCATTTTAATTGATTTTAATAAATAATTACAATAATTGTTCTTATCTGTCAATATTTATTACCATAGTTATTCCACAGCATAGATAATACATCTAATAGGGATCCATAGTTCATACCATAGTTTATCGCCACTATAGATAAATCATAATAACTATAGATATTTATCAAATTTTGCTACCACAGATAACTACTATAGAGTATAAATGTCAAAATACGTCAAAGAGTTTTATACAATCAATTCGCAGTGGCTACATACACATGGTACACTTAAAAGTATGATTTTGTATTTTCAAAATTCATTAATAGTGTATACCTTTCTGAATTTATATTCTAGTATAAAAATTTGAAATTTCAAAAGAAATTTAAAAGATGTGAGTTTTTGAATTTGTCCGGACCTATTGGATAAGGAGAAGAGATTAGTGCAAAATAAATTAGACACAGCTATTCTAGATATTCATTTGTACCAATATACAATGCAAATGTTTAGACGTTAATAGTGTAGGGTTTCATTTTAGCCACTACATGTTAACGTGACAGAACCACAGAGTATAATGACCGGTAACAATCTTATATCTAGGTCTTATATACAGTCAGTTTCTTCTCTGGTATAGTAAACTTAACTATGGTAATAACATAACCTACAAAAAATAGAGGAATGACATCAAAATGTCAAGTTTAAACTAAATTAATTTCTTATTAATAACAGAGTTAATTACAGAAATGGATAAATACGAGGTTGTTGGATTGCTAGGCGAAGGATCTTTTGGTAGAGTGTACAAAGCTAAACAAATTTCTGACTCGAGAACTGTAGCGTTAAAAGTTATAAGCAAGGTTCGAATTTACAAAAAACTGTTTTTTAAATTATTGACTCAATTTACTTATAGAGGGGAAGGTCGGTTAAAGAAATTAAAGGTCTGCGAAGAGAATGTGAAATACAGAGACATTTAAATCACCCCAATATCATTCAGATGTTAGATTCATTTGAAACTGACAACGAGGTCTTTACCAATACATTATTATTAAGGTATTTTTAATGGATCCTGAATTGTAGATTGTCGTAATAACAGAGTTTGCTCATAAGGAGTTGACTACCATTCTTAGTAAGGAAGGTTATTTGACAGAGGACAGGGTTCAAGCAATTGTATGGGACTTGGCGTCGGCTTTGTATTATCTGCATTCTAATAGAGTTTTACATAGGTATATTTTAGATTTGTAATTTATTATTACCTGTTTTTACTGATTTTTCCTTGGCAGGGATTTAAAACCACAAAATATACTTCTTGATGCAAGAAATATTGCAAAACTTTGTGACTTTGGCTTTGCTAGGAATATGAGTACTGGTACTCATGTTCTGACATCTATTAAGGGTGAGAAAATAGAAAGAATATAGAAAAATATAATTTTGAATTTGATTTTCAGGAACTCCCCTATATATGGCCCCAGAGCTTATTGAAGAACATCCTTATGATCACAGTGCCGATTTGTGGTCATTAGGTTGTATAATTTATGAGCTTTTAATAGGCTCACCCCCTTTTTGTACTTCTTCAATACTCCATTTAATAAGAATGATTCGACATGAACAAATACAATGGCCCACGTTTCTATCAGAAGATTGCATATCATTTTTAAAAGTAATGCTCCGTGTAAAACATTTATTATTAATGTTTTTTTTTATTTGTTTGGTACATTTTTAGGGTTTATTACATAAAAATCCGCGTAACCGAATGACCTGGCCAGAAATACTAAAGCATCCTTTTGTGGAGGGTCATATTTTAATTACAGAAGGCACACTGTCCATGCCTCTGACACGACCAATGTCGGTGAATACTCTGCAAGTTAAAGAGCAACAGAGAAAGGACAGAATAGCTCAGAAATTGATGAGGGCGAATTCTCAAGAAAACGCGGCAATAACAACCCGAACTAGTTCTAGTAAGGGCAGTAAGGGTAATAAAAATTCTAGGAATGAGGAAAAGTCGAAAAATAGTTTGTTAGGCAGCAAAAGTGTCGAATCTAATAAGTCTAATAAGAAAACTGCTAGACAAAAATCTTCAGGAAGCGAAGCATCGAAGGACGAGGATGCAAAAATTTCAAAAAACAAAAATAGTGAGAAAGGTTCTTCAAAAAATGACAATACTAAACAAGTAGAGGAACAGGAAGTTGATCTCGAAAACTGGTTTGAGACATCTGTTAAAGAAGAGAAATCTAACAATGTTCAAGATGATATTCCAAATTTAAAAGGCATTACTATAAAAAATTACCCTTTTTATTACCTATGCATTTTAATGTTGATCATTTTCTGTACCAGACGTGGTAGTTGGGCAAGAAGATCTGATATTTCATGAAGATTCCCAACCGATTGAAAATGAAGAATGGATGGTGTTTTTAAGGAAAACAATGTCCGAAATATTCAGGAATGAATTATCGTCACTCACCGAAATAAGTCTTGCAAATGTTCTTTTATCGCCTTTACGAAACACCAACACCAATTCCAAAGTTATGGGTTCTGTTGCCAGTTTGTTTTCGATGCCTTTTGTAATTTTGGACGAAATGGACAACGTTCTAACTGAAATAGAGAACGTAATTTAGTATATTAAGTAAATAAAAAATTTATTATTAAAAGTAAATTTATTTTGTAGGTTTATAATAAAATAAAACTCGTCCCAAATCTCGTGAACGCTGCTAAAGTCATTTTAAAGCAAAAAGATATTAATGGAAACTCTGACAGTGGGTCATCCTCGACTTCCGACTTAGAAAATGACCATTCACCTTTGTATAAAGACATTTCCGCCCTCACAGAAGAAGATTTAGAGGCTATCGAATATTCATTTCTTCTAATTTGCAATTTGGTTCATCGGAATAACAATTTTGCTGTTCAATTTTGCGATTCTGTGGCCGTTTTGAATATTTACGATCTTTTGAGGAGTTTATTATCTATGGCTAATCAAAGACCTCAACTTGTGGCTGATTTGATATCTATTTTGACTCAGGTATTGAGGAATGCTCCAGAAAATTGGGAAGTTGTCGATAAAATTTTAATTGGGAAGAATCCCGAAGACAGGAAAGACTTTTTGCAACTTTTCATTCACTCTGACGATCTTATAAGGGAGCGAATGTGTTACCTTATTCACGCTTTGGGGAAGTATGCATCGAAAACGTTCGACGATATTTGGAATAGTGAGAATAAGGAGACCTTGGAAGCTTTAATGTTTGACTCGATCGAAAATGTGAGGAATGTAAGAGTTTTCTAGATTTAACACGAACATTATTAATATTAAAAAAATATATTTTTTTGGTTTAGGCTGCTGAAGTTGCCTTTGAGGAGTTGAAGTCTTTAGAAATGCGACCATCGTCGACAGTACGAGATTCGTTGGAATGCGAAGACGAAAAATAATAATCGTATTTTGGAGAATTTTTTTTATCAAATTTATTCTTTCAATATTTGTATTTGATCTCATTTGTTGAGCAAGTCAGAATAATGTGTAAAATTCACTCATGTCAAAAATATTGCATTTGTAAAAGACTGTAATACTAACAATTAATGGTAAATATACGTATTATTTATTATAAACTTTTTTTATTGGTTTATTAAAATTAATAAGAAAAAAATATATATCCATTGATTAATAGAACTACTAAAAATATTTATTTTTCCACATTTATTATTCAGATATTTCGCAATACTTTCGTTAATTTTATTTATACTATTCGGGTTTTATTGAAATAAATATGAATGAATGAATTTTCATCTATAAATAATATTTTTTTAATGTAGACACAGGGAAGCTAATTTTTCCTATTTGTAATGTAAAATGTCGACAACCCAACATACAGGAAATATTGAAACTGTAATAATGTAATTACAAAGATAGATTGAAAACGTTTCTTCTCACGAAAATAACTGTTTTTTGTGAAACTCGATGAATAAGTTATAAGGTATTGCGTGGAAAGAATTAATTACTCAATAACATTTTTTTAAAGCCATGTTGTAAAATTTGGTTGAAAACTTACACATTTTTATTTGGAGGTGCTTAAAAAGGTATTCAATTACTAATTACGACTGTTTAGTTAACTTTTATTAGGAACTGTCGTTTTAATACCGAAAATAAGACGTTCGTGTAAATATAATTATATTACTAACAATTATTAAAAAAGTTTTATTGGAAATTTTGGTGGAGGCGCCGGGATGATTTCAAATAAAGCCTATAATTGAGCCATAATTACGGTTTTATAGAAATAGATTGATTAATTTTCATCTTTGAATCACATTGTTTCTATGTTGATGCAATTAGGAATGTTAATTAATATTTTTCCTGCTATAATATTAAATTACAATTTGTAAAAAATATATAGACAACCCACCATGCAGCAAATATTGAAATTCTAATTATGTGACTACAAAGTTAATTAGAAAACGTTTTCTCTCAGAAATATATGTTTTTCGTGAAACTCGTTACAATCATCGAATAAACCAAAAAATATTACAAAAAAGTATCTAATTAATTGTTTAGTAAATTTGGTTGAAAACTCTTACACGTTTTCATTTGGAGTTGTCAAAAAAGTGTTCAGGTACTTGTTATGAGTATTTAATTAATATTTATTTTGAAACTATTGTTTTAAGGTTGCAAATGAGATGTTGACGAAGATGTACGAATATTACCAACAATTACTAAAAAATTTTATTCAAAATTTTGGTGGAGGCGGGACTATTGCTATTGCAAGTGCTATAATCGGCTGTAATTCCGATTTCATTGAAGTAGATTGATGTATTTTCATCATTTAATTATATTGCCCCATGTAGGCAGTTGGGAATGCCAATTTCAATGTTTCTTTTTACAATATTAAACTACAATTTGTAATATAATATATAGTCAACCCAACATACAGGAAATATTGAAACTGTAATAATGTAGACTACAAAGTTAATTAGAAAACGTTTTCTCTCAGAAATATATGTTTTTCGTGAAACTCGTTACAATCATCGAATAAACCAAAAAATATTACAAAAAAGTATCTAATTAATTGTTTAGTAAATTTGGTTGAAAACTCTTACACGTTTTCATTTGGAGTTGTCAAAAAAGTGTTCAGGTACTTGTTATGAGTATTTAATTAATATTTATTTTGAAACTATTGTTTTAAGGTTGCAAATGAGATGTTGACGAAGATGTACGAATATTACCAACAATTACTAAAAAATTTTATTCAAAATTTTGGTGGAGGCGGGACTATTGCTATTGCAAGTGCTATAATCGGCTGTAATTCCGATTTCATTGAAGTAGATTGATGTATTTTCATCATTTAATTATATTGCCCCATGTAGGCAGTTGGGAATGCCAATTTCAATGTTTCTTTTTACAATATTAAACTACAATTTGTAATATAATATATAGTCAACCCAACATACAGGAAATATTCCAGTTCTTGAAATGTAACTACAAAGAAAGCTAGAAAACATTTTTTTCATAAAATTTTAAGGTTTTACAGTGCTGTAGTTATTGCAAATATAAACAACAATTGTTTTTTTAAATATGAGCTATCCTTATAACTACATGAGTGCTAATTGTAGATACGCAACCGAAGTAAATTTTATACGAGTTAAATGATCTTGTTTTAAATTTTAAATGGCAAAAATTGAAATTCTAATATTCCCTGCGAGGTTATACGTATTTGTCCAGTGCGGGCAAAGAATTAAAGCTGACCGGACACCAATTAATGGTTACCAGCCAACAGCCGGCTGATACTCGAGCGATTTACATTCGTTTGAATTATTTTGTGCAACAAATTAATTAGGCAACAGAGAAAAAGGCTAATTATTCCATACGTTAGTGCACAATAATATAGTCAACATTTTCAGGGTAAGTAATAGCGAATAATATGTTAATTAGCGCGATTATGTAGATTCATAAATGTTTGTTTTGGCCTTCACATGCCTACAAACAATATATAAAACACACACAACGAAGAACGCTATAACTGAAGACTGTAGGACTGCCTGCTGCTGAGTAGTCAAATATTACCAAATGCTTTCAGACACATGCAAACCGTATATCTATCGTGATATTTACCTTTTTTTAAAAATACAATCCAATAAACTGTAGCCAGTTATGCAATAAAATAAACTGATTTGATTTGTTGAAACAAACGAACTATTTGTTTTCTTTTATTACTTTACATGATTATTACCGTTTATAAATGGTGATCGAGGTAACATCCGGAAGAAAAATGACCACTCTGTACATAATTAAGTATCACATTCACGTGTAGTGCAATAAATCTTATTAAGTGTTCAGCAGTAAACAGTTATCAGGTATCGTTTGAATGCCTAGATGTACAATAAAATAAACTGACTTGCTTTGCTTTTAATTGGAGTAACAAAAGAAAAGATGTACGTCTACTTTTTGTTTTCTTTCTTTTATTTTACATGATTGTTACCGTTTGCAAATGGCGGTCGGGGTAACATCCGGAAGAAAAATGACCACTCTGTACATAATTAAGTATCACATTCACGTGTAGTGCAATAAATCTTATTAAGTGTTCAGCAGTAAACAGTTATCAGGTATCGTTTGAATGCCTAGATGTACAATAAAATAAACTGACTTGCTTTGCTTTTAATTGGAGTAACAAAAGAAAAGATGTACGTCTACTTTTTGTTTTCTTTCTTTTATTTTACATGATTGTTACCGTTTGCAAATGGCGGTCGGGGTAACATCCGGAAGTAAAATGACCACGTCTAGTGCAATAAATCGTATTTTAAGTGCTCAAAAGCGAACAGTTATTAGGTGCCTATCTTTTGAATGCCGAGACTCGACATTTTTGTAGTTATTGTTTCGCCAACCTTTTCGTTGTAGTTCATTTATCAAATTGCGATGCGTGAATTAACCTTTTTAGACATGTTTGCCATTAAATTTGCAGTCTTAACCGTTACATCTTATCCTCTAAAGTGTGTTACCCAATGGTAAATATTCGAAAGTAGTAATACAATCGGCGGATTTTGGTCCCCTCTCCCCCAATATTATACACACGTGTATTTCCGTACAACTCTCCGTCAAGGGGGTCAACGACCGGAAATTTGCGAATTTTGCAATTTTCCTACCTAATAACCGCTTTAATGTGTGCCTGTATGCGTGTAAATACAATAATATAAAACCACGGTTGTGTATAATACGGACTTACGTGGATGTAAGAGCGGTGAAAATACATAAAAAAATCGTTTATTTAAAAAGAAAGTCAACAGAAGTTAAAAATGGGGCCAGTGATCTTTTTGCAGAAAAGATTTTTGTTAAAAATTAAACTTTTAGTTGTGACACTGGCCAAATTGTTCTTGTTCCAAAATTCTAAAAAAAAAGGCAGTTATTTTTTAATTAAATTGTAAAGTTTATGGTTGTGTTAGGAAAAACTATAATCGATAGAGGAATTTAATTTGAAAAAGAAAAGTTTAGAACAAAATATCAGCTAATATCGAGGTTAATTCTGAAATTCTTACATTTAGTTCCCAATTAGAGGATGTAGATATCTGGAATAGTTTGAAAAACGGAGAAATTTAAAAGTTTTGCTGTTACTTATTTTTTTGAAGTTGTATTAAAATAAAACTAACTTTATAGCACTTCCGCAACCTAAAAAAATATTATACGTTGATGATACTTTTGATCCATAAATTTTTCGTTATTATAGGTGACTTTTCAAAAGTTACTACGGTTAAAATGAAATAAAAAGGCGTTAAAAAATCTTATGTCTTCGGTGTAATCTCTTAAACAAAACAAATAAAATAATTGCCTTCCAAACCTATTATTACGTGTATTGTTAATAATAAAATTGAAGTGCGTGTTTCGTTTTTGTTTCAATTTCACGTAGTCAACTGTTACGAAATACGTTTCAAAATCACGGAATGAGTGCGTTCGCTTTACTGTTAAAATCTTCTTTGAAAAAATCCATTTCCCACCAATGGAATGAGAAACGGGAAAAAAAAGGCGACTTGTTGCATACAATACAATGCGGTCTGTATTGTGTAGCTCATATTGATTATTATGACAGGTTACATCATCAAAGAAATTGATACCGTTATTTTAAAGTTATTTTCAATCGTAAGGACCATTGTGTTCTCTTCTTCGTCTTCGTCTTCTTCTTAATGATCAGAGACAAAGAGGAGAGAATCGTTTGTAAACCGCATAAAAAATGATTATTGATCTGCGTGAAATAAAGCAATTATTACAAATAATAAACAATTTAAAAAAGTGCCTAGACTTTTGACAAAAGTCGTAAGCGTTTTTTTTCTTTTTCGGTGTGAGTACAGGGCAATTTATTATGTTGGACGGTGCGCGCTTTTTTATTAATCCGCAAGTTCCAATCATAATATGCGAATAATTGCGATTAGACCAGAAATTGTTAAATTTGTAGATGAACGGGCATTTTTGTCATTAATTAATGCGTCAGTGTATTATACAGCTAGGTATATATAATAGGGTTTTGTACTTTTTCAAATGTTTGATTTTTTGAGAAAGCACGCAGCTGTTTGTCTGTTATATTTAATTATGTAACAGAACCATATTTTTGCGACTTCTAATTGCTGCTAAACCATTAGACCAATATCACGCGTATTACTTAATACTTTACAATGATATTGTGAAAAGTGGACCGTTTTATTGCAAGTGCTATAAGTATTAATTGTAACTGATTGCTACATTAATGAAAAAAACGATTTAAAATTTACGAGAGTATAAAATTCCTCTCCTTATTAAATTGTTATCCTAAATACTCAAATTATATAGAAAAATTTATTTAATTTACCAAGTATTGCATTATTACGGGTGAGTTATTTTTTGTTGACTATGTTTGTATTATTTTTTTGACATTTTTTGATTTGTAAAGTTTCAAATAGGCTGAGCATTTACTTTTTTGGTATATTAGGCAGTAAGTAACTGAATTTTACGAAATATAACGTTTGAAAGTTTCAGAAATTCCGGTAGATTTTTTAAATTTATGTAATGCACAATGACGTTCTTTAAATCTGTGTGTTATAGATCTTCCTGATTGACCTGTGTACATATTCACTGCATCGCATTTATTACAAATTACCTTACAGGTAAATCAGGAAGATCTATAAGAATGAGCAATGAACAACATCAACCAAGAAGTGAAATGTTCGACCCATTTCAAAAAAATGTCAAAAAAATGATACAAACGTTGTCAACCATCAGAACCGGAACTAAATACCAATAAGTCACCCTGTTAGCATTTTCCAAATTCAGAGATTTAGAATGAATATGAATAGATGTAACAAACATTGTAAAATACACTGCTTCTAATATCTTTTGATAATATAACTGAAAATTTATGAATTTTGTGAAATATTACCAAATAGTGTTCTTGTAATCATATAAATATTTAAAATTAAAATGCCCTACATTGAATTTCTACTACGAACAATAATAACAACAGAAATAATTGTTTTGCTTAATTAAATTAAGACATTGAGTACAATAAAATGAAAACAATTAGAGTACAAATCTGTAGGTACTGTATGTATTAGTCAAAAACCCTCCAATTGACCTCCTGTTAAAGATTGAGATCAATTGGGAATGGATTTGAGGATAAGCAAACTATGTAAACTATGTTAGTTTTTACTATACATATTAAACTCCACGTTCATGCCAAAAAAATAAAGATAAATAATAAGCCAATGATTCTCTAATGGTCGTGTATGTTGAAACAATTGAGGTAATTTAAGGCATAGAGGGTAATTAGTAATGTAACATCATGGGAGCTGAAAAAATTCGTTTTTTATTATATCATACAAAATAAGTAAAAAAAATCGTTTCGAATTTCCTATATAAGCTAACCGTAATATGAAAAGCTCAAATTGAACTCAAAAAAGAAAAACAATTTATCGAGGATAAGCCTTAGGCTTGTTTCTTTTGGGTGACATACATTTCTCAAAATAAAAACGAAGTCAACGGGTTCGATCTTCGGTACATTTTTATGTTTTTTTTTTTTTTTAACGCTCTTGTTAGTGTATTTAGCGCTGTTTTGTGAGTGGGTTGGTAAACATTTCATTTTGATTGTTTCTCTTTGGTAGAGTCACCAAGGCAGCGGCCGTTAATACAATAAAACGTGAAGAATCTAGGTACCCATAACCCCAGGCCAATTCCTTTTTGAGAAGGAGGTTTGTAAGATCACGATTTGCTCTAGCTGTGGGAGTCTTGGAATTTAACTTGACGGCGGCAACAACGTCGACGGCGACGGCGGTGACGTCGTGCCGTCGACAGACTTGGCCTTAATTCTCACCAACGTACCATTGTCGAAAGAAAAAAAAAAACTTTTGACACAAATAAATCTCAACAACACTCTTTAACGCAACGGTTGTTGTAAAAAAAACATCAAAAATCGATTTATGTAACAATTTTGACAATGGGCGCACTTTATTATGTTAAAAAAGTGTAAATATTTTTCAAAAAGTAAAGAAAATAATATACACCAATGTATTTTCGTAAAACAGTGAGTTTTTTCTCGAACACAACTGAATATAGAGTTGCATACGCCTCAGGGTAGAATTCGTTAGAAATCGGGTTACTCGCTTAATCTAGCATTGAAGTCTTTTCGTAAACCCTGCTAAAAAGTCATTAAATAGGGTCGAAAACGGCAAAAACGAAGCAAATACCCGACGAGGGAGGTGTTAGAGGTCTCCACCTATCCTTTAGATAAAAAATGATAGGATATTTTACGAGTAAATTTAAAATATGATCAGACAAAAATTTGCTGACTTTCGGTGATGAAATTTCAGCTACAAACTTATTTGGTATATTTTGTTTTGCAAAATATTATTGTTATTTGGATTATAATTGGTTTATTTATAACTTTT